GAGTGAACCACCATAACCACTTTTCAACGAATATATAGCGTTGTTGGCACCTATCCATGTAAGCTATAGCTGCAGGATTATGCTCGTACGCGTTTGACATAACTTTTGGTTGGGAATACACGTATAATCGATAACCAGACAATATAAGAAAAAGATAGATGTACCGTATAATAATAATAAATAACAACTCATTAAAATAACTTGAATCTAAAGTGACTCGCGCAGATTAATCTTACCATAAGATTTTGATAATAATTGATGTTAAGATGTAATTGATGTTGGCTATTGATCGTTCGAACATCATTCAAACATGCTAATTTTTTTATTTACAAATTTGCTTAAGTAAAAAAGTTAACACATAATTTTAGAAAACGTTGAGATAGCTCTTCTTATTACGATGATGAATTTTCCAACTGAGTTAATAACGTGAGAAATTTACCGTATGGCTTCATTCTAAGTGACCGTCTGGTTATCATCGTCCTATGCATGTTCTTAAAGTTTACGTAAGACGGAATGAAGATTGTAGATTAAGATAGAACTTGTCAAGGGGGGGGATCATATATCTGAACTCATTAATTACTACGGCGCTATCATAATCTCTCGCACGATCTCGCATTCCGAGATGATTAGTAAAGTCCTCGTAAATTTCGCAGGGAACACGTCGCGAATCTATCTACATTGCCTATCTCGCAACGGCATGAATGTATCTACATATAATAAATGATAGAATAGAAAATAAGAATCAAGATTGAAAAAAACAACAAAATTTTATCAAAAATGAGAAAGAAAAAATTTATTATTAAAATTATATACAGGACAACAGGACGTTGCGGAAAAAAATTATCTTGTCATTATCTGTAATACTTATAGATTATAATACTTTATTACCGTTTTAATCATAATAAATGATCGGTAGGTAGGTATTTACTGTAATGTGAGTAAAAGAATTACAATTAATAAGTCTATAACCAGCGAGAAAACGTACAGTTAATGTCTGCCGACTTAGGAACATACGCGTAGTCAATTTCGTTTATGTTATGACTCGATATTGTTGCTTGCTCCCTCAAGAAAGTTAGAGCGGTGTACCGCAGACAACATCTGAGAAAATAATCCAAGTTAATTCCATCGGAGCTACACATCTCGAGCCAACTTGTAGCGTTAATTCCAGGAGTCTCACGGAAAGAGAATGGATATAGCCATACGCAATAAATAAATCCAATAAAAGACACGCGAGGCAGAACGAAATAGAAGAAAACGCAAACCGGCCAAGCTAACCGGAGACAGAGAGGAGACACCGACAAACGGAGGTAGAGACAGAACTCGAAGCGTAGAATAGTGCGAGGGTGAAAAGAGAGACGTGGACGGGGAGGAACATCACGGAAGCGAGACGCAACGATAGTGGAAGGGGATGGCGCGCGCTATCGCGAACCCCACCGACGAACGCGGCAGGATGCCGAGGTCGACGCTATCGATTGGCGTCAGCGTTTCCTCGTCAGTATCTAGCGGCCGGTGAGCTTTCTCTCTCTTTCTCCCTCTCTCTCTCTCTC